GCAAACTAATTCATGCAGCAGCCAAATCGCCCGCTCACAACTTTCATGCCAGCAGCTCACCAAGTAGGATTCTTGCTCACTGGACTCCACAGCTTAGAGGGAGCATTGCTCCAGGGCAAACTAATTCATGCAGCAGCCAAATCGCCCGCTCACAACTTTCATGCCAGCAGCTCACCAAGTAGGATTCTTGCTCACTGGACTCCACAGCTTAGAGGGAGCATTGCTCCAGGGCAAACTAATTCATGCAGCAGCCAAATCGCCCGCTCACAACTTTCATGCCAGCAGCTCACCAAGTAGGATTCTTGCTCACTGGACTCCACAGCTTAGAGGGAGCATTGCTCCAGGGCAAACTAATTCATGCAGCAGCCAAATCGCCCGCTCACAACTTTCATGCCAGCAGCTCACCAAGTAGGATTCTTGCTCACTGGACTCCACAGCTTAGAGGGAGCATTGCAAGGGAGTCCACCCCCCAGCCCCCCCCCGGTCCTCTGCCGCCGAGCTCAGAGCGCGCAGGCGCACTTACAGCCGCAGGGAGTCCAGCAGCCAGGCGTCCTCGTCGTCCTCCTCCTCCCGCATCGCTGCCCGGCTCCTTCCAGCGGAACGGCGGTCACGTGAGCCGCCCCGTCACGTGAGCGCCGCCCCGTCACGTGATTGCTCTGGCGTCACGTGTGAATGCCCGCCCGGGACTCGGCACGGGAAGGGGGCTCCGTGCGCAGGATTGGGGGGCGGCGCGCTGCCAGGCGGAGAGCCAGTTCGGCCCGCCCCGTCACGTGAGCGCCGCCCCGTCACGTGATTGCTCTGGCGTCACGTGTGAATGCCCGCCCGGGACTCGGCACGGGAAGGGGGCTCCGTGCGCAGGATTGGGGGGCGGCGCGCTGCCAGGCGGAGAGCCAGTTCGGTGCCCTGGTCAAGTGAAGGGAAAGGTCTCCCCCTTGCTCGAGAGCCAGTCCAGTCCGACTCTAGGGTTGCGGGGCTCATCTCCGTTTCCGAGCCGAAGAGCCAGCGCTGTCCGAAGGCGTTTCCGTGGTCATGTGGCCGGCATGACTAAACACCGAGGCGCACGGAACGCTGTTCCCTTCCCGCCGAAGTGGTACCTATTTATCTACTTGCAATTTCTTGCTTTCAAACTGCTAGGTTGGCAGGAGCTGGAACCAGAGACGGGAGCTCACTCCATCAAGCGGCACACTCGGGTCTCGAACTGCTGAACTACCGACCTTCCACAGCCTGCAGTTCAGCGTCTTAGCCACTTGAGCCACCGCAGCTCTGCTGTGGTTAAGTGGCTCTAATCTGGGAGAGCCGGGTTTGAATCCCTGCTCCTCCACATGAAGCCTGCCGGTGTGACCTTGGGTCAGTCGCAAGCTCCTCTCAGAGCTGTTCTCTCAGGAGCAGTCCCAAGAGAGAGCTCTCTTAGCCCCACCCACCCCGCAGGGTGTCTGTTGTGGGGAGGGGAAGGGAGAGGAGTTTGTAGGCTGGTCTGAGACTCCTTCGGGTCGTAAAGGGCAGGGTATAAATCCAACCTCCTCTTCTTCTTTTTCTTTCCTCACCCGCCCCATGGCCAGTGTTCCCTCTAAGCTGACTCGGTGTGAGCCAGCTCGCGTTTTTTTTAGCCTCCAGCTCACACGTTTTTGTCTCATCTCACGAAGGAGGGCTCCAGAACAAACTCATTGATGCGGCAGCCAACTTGCTCGCTCACAACTTTCATGCCAGGAGCTCACCAAGTAGAATCTTTGCTCACAAGACTCTACAGCTTAGAGGGAGCATTGCTTGGGAGGGTGGGCTCAGCAATGTTCCCTCTAAGCTGAGTGTGAGCCAGCGCACCGTTTGTTTAGCCTCCGGCTCACACGTTTTTGTCTCATCTCAGGAAGGAGGGCTCCAGAGCAAACTAATTTATGCAGCAGCCAAATAGCTCACTCACAACTTTAATGCCAGGAGCTCACCAAGTAGAATCTTTGCTCACAAGACTCTACAGCTTAGAGGGAGCATTGGTGAGAACCAATGTTCCCTCTAAGATGAGTTAGTGTGAGCTCACAGTTTTTTTACACATTTTTACACGTTTTCACACATTTTTGTCTCGGCTCAGGAA